CGCATGCGTGCGGTCCCACTGGGGGCTTCGGTGGAGTTCCCTATGGGGTCACGTGGCGCTGTACTGGGTAGGTGAAAATGCCAAATTAGGTGTGGGGGACGCACGCGGGCGGTCCCACTGAGGGCTTCGGTGGGGCTCCGAATTTATTCACGAAGCGCTGTACAGAGTGGGTGAATTTGCCAAATTGGGTATGGGGGACGCATGCGGGCGGTCCCACTGGGGGCCTCGGTGGAGTTCCCTATGGGGCCCCGACACGCTGTACTGGGTGCGTTAAAATCCTCAATTGGGCGTGGCGGACGCATGCGGGCGGTGCCACTGGGACCTTTGGTGGAGCCCCCTTATGGGGCCACGAAACCCTGTACTGGGTGGGTGAAACGCAGAGAGCAAGGGCCGTGTTGAGTGGTGGCGGACGCATGCCGGCGGTGCCACCGGGACCTTCGGTGGAGCCCCCTATGGGGCCACGAAACGTTGTACTGAGTGGGCGAAACGCAGGGAGCAAGGGCCGTGTTGGGTGGTGGCGGACGCATGCGGGCGGTGCCACTGTGACCTTCCGTGGAGCTCCCTATGGGGCCACGAAACGCATGGAAACGGAGGAGGGAGGGGAGGAGGGGAAGGAGGGGGAGGAGGAGGAGGAGAGGAGAAGAGGAAGGCGGGGACCGTCTCTTCAAAACGCGGACCCAGCACCACAGGACGGTTGGGAACAGAAGACCTTTAGGGGCTACGCGAGCCGCCCGCCTTCTGTCCAGCCCGCCCAGCCCGCCCGACCCGCCCGTTACGCTCCGCCCGCGCGGTGGTGCACAGGAGCCTTCTGCCGAGGTCGGGCGCCCACCCTGGACTGCGGGGGAGGGCGCGCGGTCGCCCGAGAGGCCCAACAGGCCATCAGGGTGTCCGGCATGCAGGGCGCGAGCCGATCCGAGGGCAGGAGGACGCAAGAGCACAGCCGTGGAAGACGTCGTCGTCGTCGTCATCGTGATCATCGGAACCATCATGATCAGCATCGCCACCATCCTCATCAGCATCATCATCATCGTCGCCATCATCATCATCTCGTCACCATCATCATCAGCAGCAGCAGTATCGTCACCTTCGTCATCGTCGCCCTCATCATCCTCATCACCATCGTCCTCATCCTCATGCTCGTCCCCATCCTCATCCTCATCCTCATCAGCATCATCACCCTCATCACCACCTCCTTCATCATCACCATCACAATCATCATCATCATAATAATCAGCAGCATCCGCATCCTCCTCATCCTCATCATCATCGTCGACATCATTATCATCACCATCCTCACCATCATCATCAACATCATCAAATACATCATCATCATCAACAGCATAAGCATCATCACCATCAGCATCACCATCATCATCACCATCACCATCACCATCACCATCACTATGTTCGTCCTCGTCATCGTCAGCATCAGCAGCATAAGCAACATCATCAAACTCAACATCGTGCAGCTCATCAACGTCATCATGATCACCATCACCATCCTTAACGAGAGCAACAACAACAAAGACAACGAGACGACGACGACAACAAAGACGACAACAATCATGTTCTGTTTGTTCGCTCTTAACTGCCCGCGTGTCACTCAACATGTGTCTCCCAAGCCCTCAATACACGCCCTCTTCGTTTTTGATCGCACCCCCTTTCGGGGCACAGGTTCCTTACCTGCCACGTTTAGTTGACGCAGCCCCTGACACAGGGGAGGGAGGAGGGAAGGGGCAAGGGGGAGGGAGAAGGATGGAGCACGAGAGACGTTAGCAGTAGGAGGGTTTAGGAGACGGAAATCAAGCGACAAAATCAAACGGGCGGGTCGGGCCTGCGGACAGTAACGGGCGGGTCGGGCGGGCGGGCCCAGGGAGGGCAGGGTCGAGCGAGCGGGTCGCTGAAGCGTCAGTCCGCATATCTCGCTAGGAATTCTCGAGTGGAAGCGCGATTCCATAATAAACCGCTGGGAAGTCCCAAGCGGGAGCGTATTTCCAGCGTGTCGAGGGCACGGCGCCGCGATAAATTGCGAGGAAGTTCCACGCGAGAGCGCAATTCCTGTCTAAATGAAAAAGAAGTCTGGCACGAGAGCACGATTGCGACATGAATCGCAAGAAATAGCAGGCGGGAGCCGTTGAGGAGCTTTCAATTCTCAAAAATCACTATTGTTGGTTAGCCCTCTCCGACAACCATCCTATGTTTCAATTCATGTGTTTACCCTGTGGCCGGCACCCTTTTCATAAGAAAAAATAAAATTTCACCAAACTGTGCCCCTGACCAACGGTTTACAGCAACAGCGGCTACCGACTGAGACCTCTTCAAAATGTATTCCCGAATCTCGCTCTCGCGCAATCATCCTCTCTTCCCCTGCCTTAGGGGCTGCACGAAATAGACGTTGCAGGTAAGAAAGATACTCCCCTAAGGGGGCACGATCGACGATGAAGAGGGCAGGTATCGAGGGTCAGAAGTAAACGTGCTGATTGGCACGTGAGCAGATAAAAGCGAACAGTATTGACATGAGTCTTGTTGTTGACGCCCTGGAATTCTCACTCCGAAAAAATAATGATTGGTCCCCCTCCAGTAACCATTGCATGTTTCAACCCAAATGATCCTCCCGGGGCTCGCATACTTTTCTTCCTCAAAAGAAAATGAAGTGTCACCAAAATGTGCCCCTGGCCCCTGGCTTACAGCAGCGGCTCCCGCCGGATAGTTCCTCACAAGTTGTCCAAATCGCGCTCTCGCGCGGGAAGACCTCACAATATATAGAAGAATTGCGCTCTCGCGTGGGACTTCCTCGCAACTGATTCAGACGCCGCGCCATCCACTCTCAGCAATCACGTTATCGCTTTTGCATTTTTTCTCGTATTGTTTTCGAGATCGCGCTATCGGTCGGGCCTTCCACGCGGTTCATGCAGGACTCACGCTTCAGCAATCCGCCTGCTCGACCTGGCCGCCTGGGCCCGCCTTCCCATCACGCCTGTTAGGCTCTACACGCCCGATCTGTCCCTCTGGTTCTGCCACTCTCTCTCTCTCTCTCTCTCTCTCTCCCTCGTGCTCTCTTGCTGCTCTCCCTCTCTCTCTCTCTCTCTCTCTCTGCGTTGGTGCTACATCCTCCTCCCTCCCCCATTGACCCCTTACCCCGTCATTACATCCGTCCTCTCTTCCCTTGCTGCAAGGGCTTCAGGACATACGCATTTCTGGCACGACGCTGATGGCCATTAAAGGGTACGGTCGAAGACGAAGAGGACGGGTATCGAGGGTTTGGGATGTACGTGTTGAACGGCACGCGAGCAGATAAGAGCAAACGCTCTTGAAAGTTGTGTTGATGTTATAGTTTGGGAGCAAACAGCGCGTTCTGATAAGCAGATAGCGCGGTTCTGTAGTACAGTGTGAGGAAGTCCAACGCGAAAGGGTTTTCACTGAGTGTCGTCGGCACGGCGACCCACATTGAAGTACTACGCGAGAGCGCGACTCCTGGATACAATGTGAGAAAGTCCCGCGCGAGACTGTGTGAAATTACCTTTGAGGAAGTATCCTGCGGGAGCCGCTGTTGTTGTTGGTGGTGTTGTTATTGTTGTTGGATTCTCACTTCTACAACATAATGATTGTTGGTCCCCCTTGCCTGGTTACAATTGCATATGTCACTTGAAATGTTTCCCCCGGGGCTCGCACCCAGCTTCTAACCAGGAGTAGCGAGGTGTCACCAAATTTTTCTCCTGGCCCCTGGTTTGCAAAAACAAGGGCTGCCGCCTGATACTTCCTCACATGTATTCCCCAATCGCGCTCTCGCGCGGGATGCTCTCACACTTTATACAGCAATCGCGCTCTCGCGTGGGACTTCCTCACAATGCATTCAGACGCCGCGCCCGCGAGTCTCAGGAATCACGCTCTTGCTGCGGAGTTCCTCACGATTTATTTCGGAATCGCGCTGTCGCTCGGGACTCGCGATTCATGCAGGACTCACGCTTCAGCAACCCGCCTGCTCGACCTGGCCGCTTCGGCCCGCCTTCCCGACCCGCCCGTTAGGGTCTACCCGCCCGATCTGCCCGTCTTGTCCTGCCACGTACTCTCTGCTCCTAGCCCCGATCCTGCTACTCTCTCTCTCTCTCGTGCTTCATCCTCCTCCCTCCCCTTGCTCCTTCCTTCCATCCGTCCTCCCTTCCCCAGCCTTAGAGGCTGCACGAAATACACGTTGTAAGTAAGAAGAACATTTACCCCCGAGGGGGTACGATCGAAGACGAAGAGCAGAACGTGTGAATGTCCGTGTGGGACGGTAATCGAGCAGATAAAAAGAGAACATTGTGAAACTGCTGTTAGTATTGGTGGTGGTGCTGTCGCTACTGGTATGTTGTTGTTGTAAGCCGGGGGCCAGCAACGCATTATGATACCCAATACTTCGGCTTGTGAAAAAAAGGTGCGACCCCCCGAGGGGCACTTCAAATGTAACACACAATGGGCAACGGGCAGGGGGACCAAGTAGAATTATTAGTTGGACATGAGAGTTAAATCATTCTAAAAAAGATGAAACTATAAACAAAAAACAAAACGCGTCGCTTTCATGCGCTCGCGTTTCATATAATATGTGCATCTCAAAACCTCGATACCCGCCCTCTTCGACGTCGATCGTACCCCCCTGGGGGGGTATCTTCTTCACCTGCCACGTGTACTTGGCGCAGCCCCGAAGGTTGGCCCTAATGCATGGTCAAGGGAGGAGGGGGGAGGGAAGAGACATGGGGGAGGGAGAAGAATGGAGTGCGAGAGAGAGACTTGCAGGAGGGGTTGGGAGCAGGAGCAAAAGCGACACAACCAGACGGGCGAGTCGGGCGGGCGGACCCTCACGGGCTGATCTGGAAGGCTGGCACAGACAGCGGGGACGAGCGGGCGGGTCGCTGAAGCGTAAGCCTAACATGAATCGCGGGGAAGTTTCGAGCCATAGCGCGATGTCGAAATAGATCCTGAGGAAGTCCAAAGAAAGTGCGTGATTCCTTTGCGCGGCGTCTCGATAAATTGCGAAGTCGTCCGACGCGAGAACCCGATTCCAGAATACAGTATGAGGACGTCCCGCGCGATGCCGCGATTTTAGGTACACTCTGAAGACATACCAGGGGGAAGCAGCTGCTGGTGTAAATCGGAGGCCAACAGCGCATCATGAGGCCCAAGACGCGCCCCCTTGTAACAAAAACCGGGTGCGAACCCTGGGAGGAGGACTTCCATTGAAAAAACACAGTGGGCGCCAGGCAGGGGTGATCAACAACAACTGCTACTCTGGAGGCATGAGAATCCAGCAGTTATTCTAAACTGATCACTCTTTTCTGCTCGCATGCCATTCCACACGTGTATCCCAAACCATCCGTACCCGCCCTTTCCGTCTTCGATCGTAGCCCCATTGGGGGGTATGTTCTCCTTACATGCCACGTGTTATCGGTGCGTGCCCGCCCTCTTCGTCTTCGATCGTTATCCCCTTGGGGATATATCCTCCTTACCTGCCACGTGTAATTGGTGCAGCCATTCAGCACGTATATCTCAAACCCTCGATACCCGCCCTCGTCGTCTTCGATCGAACCCCCTTGTGGGCATGTCTTCCTTACCTAAAACCCTGCAACGTGTATTGAGTGTAGCGCCCAAAAGAGGGGAAGAAAGGACGGAAGGAAGGGGAAGGGATAAGGATGGAGCACGAGAGAGATTTGCAGGAGAAGGGCTAGAAACAGAAAACACGTGGCAGGGCCATACGGGCAGATCGGTCGAGTAGACCCTAACGGGCGGATCAGAAAGGCGGGCCCAGGCGGCCAGGTCGAGCAGGCGGGTTGCTGAAGCCGGAATCCTTTATGAATCGCGCGGAAATCTCGAGCGACCGCGCGATTCCGGAAACATGCGAGAAAAGGCAAAAGCGATAGTGTGATTCCTGAGTGTGGAGGGCGCGGCGTCTGAATCAGTTGCGAAAAATACCACGCGTGAGCGCAATTCCTGCATACATTATGAGAAAGTCCTGCGCGAGAGCGCCATTTTGA